CAAAGGGTTGGTAGTAACCACCAGGTGAGTCTGAGCCTGTTCTCTCCTTGGGCGGTCTCACTTCCTGGTCAGGGAACCAGAAATGTTGCAGGAAGACAAGGCCCAATGGAGAGAAAGAACACCCAAACACTGTTTTAAAAAGGAAGAGCTTTATTCCAGCCTGCAGAGTGATAGCAGACTAAAGTCTAAAATGGCCATGCTCCCCCAACTGGCTCAGTCTTCTCCTTTTTATCTCTAGTCAAAAGCTTTGGCCCACAGGTACCTTTCTAATTGGTCAGTTTGAATCAAGCTGGAGAAGCAGGCTCAGTCTTTTACAGAAGCAGAAGCAAGTGTTGGTTTCCAGGTCTCAGGAAGTTAAGTTTCTATAAATTCCTAAGAGCTGAGTCACTATGGGGAAGACTTTGTGGCTGTGCCCTTGGGGCCTCCTTGAGAAGACCTCTGTTCTCTTAGACCTCACTTTTCCCAGGTATCCTCTCTCAAAGCCATAGGACAAAGTTTATTTTACAGAGAAGTACATAGAAAGGCAAAAGCTTCCAGCAGTGGTGGAGTGGAAGGGGAAGACCCACATGGGTCTTTTGTCTGGGGGTTCATACACTGTGTCCAAGCAGGGAAATCTTGGAAGTAAAAATCACACTTGGTGAGGAGCTGGCAGACAACAAAACATCCTTGCCCTGTTGATCAGCAAATGAATGAGTCCTCATAGTTTCTGCCTCAGGGAAGGCAGAAGAGTGTATGCTTTCCACTCATGGAGGGGCTATCCAGATGAAATCCTGCTTGTGTTCAGAGAATGCAGTTTGGAAAAAAATGTCTGCTTGCTCAGGCCTAGAAAATGGGGGTTCCTGTCCAGCCCTGAATGGGGGAACCTTATATCAATCACATGGTCTTCTCTATGTCTCTTTGTGTTCTCTCCCCTTTTTATAAGGATACCGGTCATTGGATTTAGGGGTAACTGTGATCTAATATGAGCTCATCTTAATTAAACCTATGAAGACCCTATTTCCAAATAAGGTCACATTCTGAGCTTCTATGTAACACAAATTTTGAGATGATATACTCTTCAATCTATTATAGTTGCCCTGTAAAGGGGCTCACATGTCAAGGAACAGATGTCACTCACCAACTACCACTGAGAACCTGAGGACTGCCAACAGCCACATAATTGAGCTTTGAAGGGATCCTCTTCCAGCTGAGCCTTTAGGTGACTCTGGACTTAAAAGAGAGCCTATGCCAGGGCACCCAGCTAAACCATTCTCAAATTCCTGACCCACAGAAACTATGAGATTTAAAAATGTTTTAGAGCCAGCATGGTGGCTCACGCTTGTAATCCTAGCACTCTGGAAGGCCAAGGTGGGTGGGTTGCTCGAGCTCACGAGTTTGAGACCAGACTGAGAAAAATTGAGACCCCTATCTTTACTAAAAATAGAAAATCTGAGGCAAGAGGATCTCTTGAGTCCAGGAGTTTGAGGTTGCTGTGAGCTATGATGCTATGGTGCTCTACCCAGAGCAACAACTTGAGACTCTGTCTCAAAAAGAAAAAATGTTGTTTTAAAGTAAAAAAAGCACATATAGTGAGGATAAGATGGAGTCATTGAGGCTAGGGCTGAGATGACACAGCTGGGTGGGTTGGTTTAGGTCCTATGTGACCTTCACCTAATGTCTCCCATTTTTGCTGTTTTGTAAATTCATCTTTAACCTAAAAGTGTATATCTTGAGTACTTCAGGGAAATTGATTTAGGAAACTAACTTCTGAATTGGACTATTATTTTGGGTCATGGGTTATGCCAATTATTATTGTTTAAGATAAAGATTAACATAGTTTTTACTTTGAACTTTCATGTACAAAACTCTGATTTTAGAAATGGAAGAACAGGCGGGCAGCGCCTGTAGCTCAAAGGAGTAGGGCACTTTCCCCATATACTGGAGGTGGTGGGTTCAAATCCAGCCCCAGTCAAAAACTGCAAAAAAAAAAAAAGAGAGAGAGAGAGAGAGAGAAATGGAAGAACAGGCTCAGTGCCTATAGCACAGTGTTTATGGCATGGAGGCTGGCGGGTTTGAGCTGGGTCCGGGCCAGCTAAACAACAATGACAACTGCAACAAGAAAATAGCTGGGCATTGGGGCAGGCACCTGTATTCCCAGCTACTCCAGAGGTTGAGACAAGAGAATCACTTAAGCCCAAGAGTTTGAGGTTGCTGCGAGCTGTGACGCCATGGCACTCTACCAAGGGTGATATAGTGAGAATCTGTCACCAAAAAAAAGGAAAAGAAATGGAAGAACAGAACAGTCTTGGAGAGGGTACTCTCACTGTTCTCCAGAATTGCTGGCCTTCTAACAAATAAAGTTTGGTGGACCTAACCCCATAACTGAATATTGGCTGACAGTGACAGGTGGCTGGTCTTCAACTGGTAACAAAAGCACTAAATGTTGGGGTAACTTGTCTTGAAGCATACATAAAAAATACAGATTTGGGTATCTGGAACTGGAGTGCTGTCTACCCAAAATATAGGAGTGGTTTTGGAACTTGGCAATGTACAGAGGATAGGAAGATTTAGAGGACAGTTAGAACTTAATTTGTTTTGTTTTTGAGACAGAGTCTCACTCTGTTGTCTTGGGGTTGAGTGCCATGGCATCATCATAACTCACAGCAACCTTAGACATTTAGGCTCAGGTGATCCTCTTGTCTCAGCCTCCTGAATAGCTGGGTTTGCAGGAACCCACCACAACACTGGCTAGTTTGAGCTTAAATTATGTTGAACAAACTTAGTGTAAATCTAGACTTTGAGGATGCTGCCAGTAAAGGCTTAAAAAGAGGTAAAGAACATGTTATTGTAAATTGAGAAAAGAGGATCCTTGGGGAGTGGCAGAAAGTTTAGCAACATTATCATCTGCAGTTATACAGAAAGTAGAAAATATTTCTGATGAACTGGATGATCTAGGTAAGGAAATTTTTCAGCAAATTTTCATTTTATTTTGAGACAGAGTCTCACTTTGTCGCCCCCAGTAGAGTACTGTGGTATCATAGCTCACAGCAACCTCAAACTCTTGGGCTCAAGAGATTCTCTTGCCTCAGCCTCCCGAGTAGCTGAGACTACAGGTACCTGCCACAATGCCTGAATATTTTTAGGGACGGGGTCTCGCTCTAGCTCAGAGCTGGTTTCAAACTTGTGAGCTCAAGCAATCCACCCACCTTGGCCTCCCAGAGTGCTGGAATTACAGGCGTGAGCCACCACGCCTGGCCCAGCAAATTTTTAAGCTGCCTAGTGTCTTCTTTCTTTCTTTCTTTCTTTCTTTTTTTTTTTTGAGACAGAGTCTCACTATGTCATCCTCAGTAGAGTGCTCTTACTGTCACAGCTCACAGCAACCTCAAATTCTTGAGCCTAAGAGATTCTCTTGCCTCAGCCTCCCAAGTAGCTGGGACTACAGGTGCCTGCCACAGTGCCTGCTATTTTTTTGTTGCAGTTGTCATTGTTGTTTAGCTGGCCCCCCAGCTGGGCTGGGCACAAACCTGCCAGCTTTAGTGTATGTGGCGGGCGCCATAACCACTGTGCTATAGGCACCAAGTCTAGTGTCTTGTTTCTTATAGTAAAAGTGACAATGAAATAAATTGCAGGGAGGATTCTTAAATAATATTGAGCCAGAACTTGATGGTTTGAAAACTAAGTGGCACCTAATGCTAAAATGAAAAGTCCTGGGTTTCAAGCAAAGATCAAAATCAGCACTGCTAATAAAATGGAGTCTGTGTGAGCTCTGACTGCTATAACAAAATACTACAGACTGGGTGGTTTTGGAAGCTCAAGCTCGAGGTCCCAGCTGTTTTGTTTCTGGATAGGGCTAGCTTCCTGGCTTACAAATGGCTCCCTGTGTTTTCACGTGAGAAATAGTATCCCCTGGTCTTTCCTCTTTTTACAAGGACACTAATTTCATCATGGGGACCTCTCCCTTATGACTTCATCTAAACCTAATTACTGGCTTGACGCCTGTGGCTCAAACAGCTAAGGCGCCAGCCACATACACCTGAGCTGGCAGGTTCGAATCCAGCCCAGGGCCCACCAAACAACAAGGATGGCTGCAACCAAAAAATAGCCAGGCATTGTGGTGGGTGCCTGTAGTCCTAGCCAATTGGGAGGCAGAGGCAGGAGAATTGCTTGAGCCCAGGAGTTGGAGGTTGCTGTGAGCTGTGATGCCACAGCACTCTACCCAGGAGGACAGCTTGAGGCTCTGTCTCAAAAATAAATAAATAAATAAAAACCTAATTACTTCTCAAAGGCCTCAATCCTAAAGACATCACACAGGGAATTAGAGCTTCAACATATAAATTTTGGGGAACAACATTCAGTTCATAATATGATTTAAAGCTAAAGTAGAAGGCATCACTGTATAACATTTAAAGACCTTAGAAAGATCAAAAATGGTGCCTCAGAAAACAATTCAGTCACTAGAAACATTTTTTCTCTTAAAAGAGAGTCTCACTTTGTCACCCTCTGTAGAGTGCTCCAGCGTCATAGCTCACAACAGCCTCAAACTCTTGGGCTTAAGCATTCTCTTGACTCAGCCTCCTGACTAGCTGGGACTACAGGCACACCTCACAACACCAGCTGTTTTTCTAGAGATGAGGTCTCACTCTGGTTCTGGCTGGTCTGAAACCCGTGAGCTCAGGCAATCCACCCACTTTGGCCACCCGGAGTGCTGTGATTACAGATGTGAGTCACCTTGCCCAGCCCACAAGGGGGAATGACAAATTTGCCTTTCCTCTTCCTCTTTGTTCTTCTGGGTCTTTAATAGATTGGTGAGCATGAGACCTCAGTGCTCACTCAGGGAGGGTGATTGTCTTTACGAAGTCTGCTGATTCAAATATGAATCTCTTCAAGAAACTCTCTCGGCTTGGCGCCTATAGCTCAACCGGCTAAGGCGCCAGCCACGTACACCTAAGGTGGTGGGTTCGAATCCCCAGCCCGGACCCGCCAAACAACAATGA